ACAAAGAGCCCAAGAGCCGTTGCTGGTCTTTTAAGCCTTATGGGAGGAGCCAATCATCTCTTGGCCCTACTCCTCAGTTGTCCTCTCTGCTTTAGCTGCTCTTACCTTCTGGCAACTCTTCTCATACGTGCACTAGGAACAGGCTCCTCCTGTTCCTCTGCCTCTCTGCTGTCAGCCTCTGGAGGCTCTGGAGTCCACTCATCATTCCCCGATGGCTCTGGACCCATCTCTGCCTCTGACGCAGAGCCCTCATCCGGGCCTTCCCCAGCCTCCAGGACTGGCCCATGTTCTTCCTCAGCCTCATCGCTGTCCGACTCCGCTGCCAGCTCCGCAGGCTGCTGGTGGACCACAACAGGATGCTTTTCCAAATGTCTGAAAATTAAAATGGCCTACCAGGATGGTGGGCTGGCGCATGATGGCTGAATGCGAAAAACAAGGTGGGAGGGGAGCTTAATTGCATCGAATGGCATTCAAAATAATTAGTTTCCAAAAGCAGTAATTTTCCAAAGCAAGCAGATCAGCCGCCTCTAACTCATTTTCTTCTTTAAACATCGGAAAGCGTTTATCTCTTCCAAGCAAATGCTTTCCCCCGAAACTTATTTATGATTCGCATTTTTATCTGAGGTGGAATGCATTTTGTGTAATCCTCTTATTGTGGTTCTCTTCTTTTCTTAACTCAAACCTCTTTACTACCCACTCTCTCTCTCTCTCTCTCTCTCTCACACACACACACACACACACACACACAAAAACTCAGCAAGAGATGAGAATTGAACTTTTCTCTGCATTGTGTAAATTCACTGAGTTGATAGCAGGACAGGCAGCACCAACAGGCATTTCAGCCACTCAAGAAATAAGCCCCTTTGCCTTTCTGAAAATAAAATTAAGAGATCAGTTCAGTCATTGCTGTAAAAAAAAAAGCCCTGAGCTAAAAGGAGAAGAGCTGCTTGGCCAGATGGAACAAAGGGGAACATTTGTTGTTGTTGTTAGTTGCGAAGTCGTGTTGGACCCATTGCAACCCCATTGACAACATTCCTCCAGGACTTCCTGTTCTCTACCATCCTCTGGAGTCCATTTAAGCTCACGCCTACTGCTTTAGTGACTCCATCCAGCCACCTCGTTCTCTATCATCCCATTCTTCTTTTGTCCTCAATCTTTCCCAGCATGAGGCTCTTCTCCAGTGAGTCCTTCCTTCTCATTCTCATTAGGTGGCCAAAGTATTTGAGTTTCATCTTCAGGATCTGACCTTCTAAAGAGCAGTCAGGGTTGATCTCCTCTAGGACTGACCAGTTGGATCACCTTGCAGTCCAAAGGACTCGCAGGAGTCTTCTCCAGCACCATAGTTCAAAGGCCTCAATTCTTTGGCGCTCAGCCTTTTTTATGATCCAATTTTCATCCAATGTATGGCTATATATTGCAACTGGGAAAACCATAGCCTTGACTATACACACTTTTGTTGGCAGGGTGATGTCTCTGCTTTTTAGAATGCTGTCTAGATTTACCATAGCTTTCCTCCCCAGGAGCAAGCGTCTTTTAATTTCTTGGCTGCAGTCCCCATCTGCGGTGATCTTGGAGCCCAGGAAAATAAAATCTGTCACTAAATCCATTTCTTCCCCATTTATTTGCCAGGAAAAGGGAAACATGGGTAGTCTTAATTTATAACCATTTAGACCAGAGGTGGGATTCACTTACCTTCCCTAACAGTTCGCAAATGTTCGCAAATTCCCACCTTCCATGCATGCTCGGCCTTCCATGCATGCTCTTTGCTCGCGCACACACCTCCTGTGCATGCGCACGACCTCCAAAACATGGCTAAATAGGACGTCATTACATCCGGGCGAGTGGGCGGAGTCTACCATAGTCGGCGCTACCGGTTCGCCCAAACCAGAAAGAACCGGCTGAATCCCATCACTGATTTAGACTTAGATTTAGAATAACTTTATTGTCACTCTGAATGTACACTAATCGGCAAACATTAAAATGAAATGTCATCACATACAGCTCTCAAAGGGTCTCCACCTCCAATACACACTACACAAACATGACTAAATAAATAAATAAATAAATAAATACAGAATTATGCATATACCTACATATATTGTATGACACAGAGAAACAACACAGTCTAGTCTGGATATACTGTATACATGTAACATGGCGAGTTTCACAGACGGATGGCCTAGGGAACAAAGCTGTTCCAGAATCTGGTAGTCCTTGCTATAGATACTTCGAAACCTCCTCCCAGAGGGGAGCAACAGAAACAGACCGTAAAGTGGGTGTATGGGGCAGTGGTGGGTTGCCCCAGGTTCGCACCAGTTCTATAGGTATTTCATAGGCAGATATTTCTCTCTCTGGGCACACTGAGATTATCTGCTGAACAAAACTCCGCATTGGTGACAAGAAGGGCATCTGGCCATTAAAGCACTCTGCTAGCTCCATTCAGTTGCCCAGACTCCACCCCGCAAGGGATTATGGAGTTGTTAAATGAAGATGATGATGATGATGTGGAGGAATTCACTGGAGAAAGCAATTATGCTTGGAAGAGTTAGCAGTGAAAGGCAACCAGACTGACAAAGAACACGGTGGCTGGACACCCTCAAAGCTGACCCCAGCTAGAGCATAGGACAACTCAAAGAAGTAGTGCAAAATCAGAAGATATAGAGAGACCTGGCCCACAAAATTACCAAGAGTTGGTCATGACTGAATGGATAACAGCCTCCTTTTCCTCATTATTCATTAAAGAAGATGCTCTGTCTTCAGGCTTCCAAGCATAGTTGAAATAAAGAGGGAGCCACTTTACTGTAATGAGTTGACTTTTTAAAGTTGCCGCATCATTTATGCAGCTCTTAAATCAACAACTTTTTTTTGTTTTGTTTTGTTTTGCAGGCTGATGCAGATACACCTTAATGAATATGTATGAATAATTTCTATAATGAAGATTGAAACGGGATACATCTTACTGCAGAAGAAATATTACCGCTGCAGAGGAAAAATTGCACCTAGATAACCTTTTTGCTTCTTTGATTTGCTGTCAAGGAGCTCTTAAGAGGTAAGTTGAAAATGCCACTGTCCTTTTAACAAGCTGGCCAGCCTCTCAAATTGAAGTCTGGTTTCTGTAAATAGGAAGCACAGCCTTTCTAAATGAGAAGCAGAATAACAGGCAATTTCTTTGCTGATATTTTTTTTCCCCCTTGCTGTTCAGAATGCAGGAAACCAGTTTTATATTTATTTCTGCCCCTAATGTTTCATTTGTGACCCACCAGTACCTAAGCAATGCCCCAGGGGTGAAATCTATTTACCTTCCTACTGGTTCAGAAGTGCATGCGCCATCTTCACATCCAATTTTAGACCTTGCATGCACAGAGGACCAAAACAGGTTACTTCCTGATTAAAACCAGGAATTAACAATGTCCGGGTGGGTGGGCGAAGCGTTGCACTGCCGCCGCTACCAGTTCACTGAACCACACACCACCGCTGCTACCAGTTTGCCTCGAACCGGAGCAAACTGGTAGCATTTCACCCCTGCAATGCCCCAAACAAACATTTTATTTCCCCTAAAACCCTGGCAATGCAATCGTGTTTTTTAATTTTTCCTTTCCAGGGCAACAGATGCAAAGATTTTTTAAAATGAAAAAATAAAAACATCTGGATGGTAGACAACGGCTAGTTTTGCCTTTCAGCAGGATGTAATTAGAGCCCGCTGAACTCTTAACCCAGGGTGAGTGGATTTGCAAAAATGGGCCTTCTAAGAAGGTTTGCTGGCGAGCTCCTAAGAACAGGATTGAGGCAGGTGGTTAAAAATAATATCCAGCGAAGATTAACATTTCAATAATCCCTGTATTTCCAGGCGGCTGTAAATAACGAGGCCTGTCCTTACCAATGCAGTATTGGGGTAGTTATAGCTGCACTAATGAGAGTTATCTGTGGCTTCCACGTCTACATTTTGCGTTCGGATTATTTTTCCACACCCAAAAGGCAGAAAAGGGGTGTGAAAATTGGTTTGTTTGTTTGCTTGTTTCTGCTTCCTGCCTTTTTGAAAACTCACCGTGTCACGTACTGCATCTTCACTAAATCACTAACAAGTATCTTATCGTTCAGGGTTTAAGCCTGCCAGATGTGTGGAAGCATTAATTGCTTTTGCTTTTTTTTTTTTTTTTTGCTTAGCCGTAGCAAAGAAGATTAAATGGGTTTGCGATAGTTTCAAAGCGCTGGAGTGAAGGTAGCCACTAGGAATCACAGATGGTGGAGCTACTTGTCCAGTTTGGGTTCAATATTACCATATTTTTCGAAGTATAAGACGCACTGGAGTGTTTGATATTACCGTATTTTTCAGAGTATAAGACGCACCGGAGTGTAAGACGCAGCTTAGTTTTTGGGGAGGAAAATAGGGGAAAAAAAATCTGCCTATCAGGTATTCATCTGGCTAGCGTCCTTAGTCTGGCCAGCTTCAGCACATTAGTTTGCTGGTTTTTTATCCCCTCCTTGGAGATAAAAAACAGCTTCTAAGGCACAGCTGAGAGGAAGCAGCAATGAGAAAAGCAGGCAAAGCACGGGGAGATCGATTCACTCAGCTAGCGCCTAGTTAGGACTGAAAAAAATCTTCTAAAGAACAGCTGAGAGTTGGAGCAAAGCATGAGATCACTTCACTCGCTAGCACCTCATTAGGGTTCAATAAAAGCTTTCAAAAAGCTACATTCGGAGTATAAGAGACACCCAAATTTCCATCCTCTTTTAGGGGGGGGAAAGGTGCGTCTTATACTCCAAAAAATACGGTAATCAAGTATTTATTATATGAAAATATCAAATATATTGTTCAACCCTTTTAATCAAGGGATGGATTGGAAGCCACCCAGAGCTTGTTATAAGAGAGGCAGCTATATACATGTTTTAAATAAATAAACATATATTATTCCCTTGTTTGGCAAGGAGCCTCATAGAATGTCTTGCTCTGCTTTTTTGCTCTGCTCTGCTCTGCTTGGAGGGACTGGGAGGCCTGACATCACCATCCTCTGACTGCTGCAGCTGTTCAGGTGATATCTGTGTTTGGCCAGCATCAGGTAATTCTTGGCTCTTCGTCTCCTGAGGTTGACGGTACATACATTCTGTTGAAACTTGAGTTGTCTGAACTCTGATCCATGATGCTATGGACTGAACATATCTTCCCAGTACACATTTTGAGGAACCCTGTCCCAGAGCTGGGTTTCACATATTGTTACCACTGGTTCACCACATGTGCGCGCACTCATTTTGCACATGTGTGCATCTTCTTCACATGTGTCCGGCCTTCTGTGAATGTGCTTTCTCACATGTGCACCTTCCACGCATGGACCCAGCCTCAAAAATGTGGCTAAATAAGATGGCATAGCGCCAGGGCACCCGCGATCTCCGCTAACGGTTCAGGTGAACCTGTCTGAACCGGCTGAATTCCATCTCTGCCTCTGCCACATAAAAATGAGTCGGCTGGGGAGAAACATGGGCCAGTCCTGGACTCTGGGGAAGGCTCGGACAAGGGTTCTGCATCGGAGGCAGAGAAAAGGCCATCTGGGAGGTATGTGCTGCCTCCGGAGCCTCCAGAGTCAGACCTCAGTGAGGCAGAGGAACAGGGGGAGCCTGTTCCCAGTGCACACATGCGCAGAGCTGCCAGAAGGCAAGAACAGTTAAAACAAAAGGGACGACTTGGGAGTAGGGCTTGGAGATGATTGGCCCCTCCCATAAGACTTTAAAAAGGAGCAAAGGCATGTGGGCCTTTGCAGGAAACAACGTTGTTAATTCTGTGCAGTTTAAAGTCTGAAGCTCTGTTTGATTCTGGACTCCATGTGGCTTTGCCAATTAGGTCTTTGGCAGCGTGTCAAGGGAGATAAAGGTGGGTGATTATCAGCCTTATCCCGAAGGACTCTTTACAACTATTTGGGACTCATCTGTGAATGAACAGAATTCACAGCTGTTAAAATAAAACAGGTTTTTGGGACTACTTGTGTGTTTTACTGACTCAGGAAACCTAGGTCACAACACTTCTACACAAGAATCTAGTCAGCTAAAGTTCAATATTTAAATAGGTGCTAGATAAGGGTCAACAGAATTCAAGAGGATTTGGGCTTGGATTGTTTGTGACAACATCTAAGCTGATGATATGTGTAACTCCATCTCCAACTCTTCCTGCTCTTCTACAAACACGCTTAGAACAAACTTAGGGTCTGTTTTGTGACACAACTGGACAAAATACAACATAATAATTGATTGTCCTTGCCATTATTATTATTATTATTATTTACTTTATTCATTAAACATGAAACTCAGTCAACTGAACATTCAAAAATGCATCACAAATACCATTGATTGGTGCTAATGGTTGATACGGGTTGCTGCCAATGTCCTAGGTATCAACCAAGTACCTTCTTAAAATGTACAATGTTCCAAGTAGCACAGTTTTTTGCAGTTCCGCTGGTGTTATTGCAGGAAGCTGCAATTTGTTGATGTATCTTATAAAATTTTTGGACATGGTACCAAGTGCCCCGATGACAATGGGTATCACTGTTACATGTTTCATCCATAATTGCATAGTTTCGATGGCCAGGTCACGATATTTCGTGATATTTTCCAGTTCTTTTTCTTCGACTCTGGATCTCCTGGTACCGCGATGTCAATAAATTGTACGTTTCGGTTTTCAACAACTGTGATATCTGGTATGTTGTGTTCCAAGTGATGATCCGTCTGTATTCGAAAGTCCCACAAGATCTTCACCTTCTCATTGTCTATAACTTTTTCCACTTTATGTTTCCGTGACATTTTGGATACAGGAAAGTCATATTTTTTACATAATGACCAGTGGATTAATTTAGCAACTCGGTTGTGTCTAGCTTTGTAATCAGTTTGTGCAATTTTGCTGCGTTCACATATTAAATGTGAAACAGTTTCAACTTTGTTGTTGCAAAGTCGGCAGTTTGGAATGTCAGTGGATTTTTGTATCTTTGCTTTCATGGCATTAGTTTGTAGTGCTTGTTCTTGAGCAGTGAGTATTAAACCTTCTGTTTCTTTCTTGATGGTTCCCATCTTAAGCCATGCCCATGTAAAGTTGTCATCACATTTTCCTTCAATGTTTTTCAAGTGCTGTCCATGCAAAGCTTTGGTTTTCCATCTATTTAATCTGTTATCCAGCTGTTTTTCCTTATATTCTGTCTTCATTTCTGTTGTTTTATAAGGAAAAAACATTATTATTATTATTATTATTATTATTATTATTATTATTATTATTAGTGATGCAGCTTGGGACACAGATGTGACTAAGATTGGAAACCTACTCTGTACCTTCTCTTGAATTATGAAAGAAAGGACTAAACTATATATGTACATAAATTGGTGTCATCTTTAGTGAGTGCCTACAAGAATTATTTTGCTTCCTTGGTTAGAAAATTTATAGCACTACCAATCTTAAGTAACTCTGGGGGGAAACATTACCCACAATAACCATATAATAAAATCAGTATCAAAGAAGATTTCACTCTAAAAAAAAATAACAACACAACTAAAAGATCTCCATGATACGATGTTTCAGACACCTGACAAACTGACTCACAACGTCGAAGCACACATATTAGGCTCTGCCGGGGTATCGTCACGTACAGGCTACACTCTTCATTTTTCTTTTTAAAAAAATAAAGAAAAAAAATCAGCACACAGAACAACTGGACAGGTATTAAATTGAAGAAATAGCAATAGCAGTGTGAAATGGCTCCCTTCTACGAAATACATTTTCAGAACTGAATGTGTCTATAATGTTTCCAAACCTATCTCAGATAAGGTTATTATTTCAGTGGATTATTGCAAACTCTGCTTTGTCTGGAAAGATTCCTTAGTCCAGGGGAGAGAGAAAGAACAAGTGGAAAGGAGCCTGAGAAGAAGTCTGCCTTAATTACACTAAGTATAAGTTGATCTGAAGAATTACTTTGGCAGGCTTTCAAGATTGTTCCACATCCTTACCAGAATTAAAGATCATTCCGGAAAGCCAAGTAATGCTTATCCTGCCAACTTCAAAGGGCTGGCTGGCCATAAAATCTTAGAATCACATCATTTGAAAGGACCCCAAAGGTCATCAAATCCAACCCCCTGTATATGCCCCATCCCCATAGGAGGACCATTCAGTCTGAAAAACTCCAGTGAAGGACCACTCTTCCTATCAAGAGGTTCATCCTAATGTCCAATCTGTATCTGCGTCCTTGAAATTTCATCCATCCCAGGAACTTTCTCAGTTGCTCACCATTTAATTATTTAGTTAATAGTTGCCCCACCTCATTTTCAAAAATGGATTAAAATTTAATTAATTTAATTTAATTAAAATTAGAAAAAAAGAATTAAAAATAATAATTGGGAGGCTAGTGTGGGGCAATAGAAAAGATCAGCCTAAAGTGAGGCAGCTCTCGTTATCCCTTATATTACTGTCTATAGTTTGCATTTCTGCTGTTAAAAAAATACCTACCAGACCTTAAAGTCACATAATCTGCATTTGGAGCACATTTTTTGCACATGGTGAATTCCTCTGCATAGAATTCGCTTCTTCACAGTTGCTTTATGCAGGGACGCGGATGACTCAGTGGTTAAAGACGCTGAGCTTGTCAACTGAAAAACTAACAGCTCAGGTTCGAGACCCAACCATCCTATGACTGGGTGAGCTCCCGTTACTCGCTCCAGCTCCTGCCAACCTAGCAGTTCGAAGCATGCAAATGTGAGTAGATAAACAGGTACCAGTTCTGTGGGAAGGTAACAGCGTTCTGTGTGCCTCTGTGTATAATCATCTTGGCCACATGACCACAGAAGTGTCTTCAGACAAACACTGGCTCCCTTGGCTAAGAAACGGAGATAAGCACTGCCTCCTAGAGTCGGAAATGACTGGACGGAGGAAACCTTCATCTTTACCTTAGTTGCTTTACGCAGTTCAATTCAGAATGGAATCCAGATGAATTATGATATCTACAGTAGTGTGGAAACCTTTTGGGAAAAGTGTATTTTTGAGGTCTGATGGATAATAATACCACTTTTTTTTTTTTTTTTGGAGTTTCAAGATAATTATATTCTATTGCTGGAATGGCCTGGGAATAGCCCAGACCTTCACCCAATTGGAAATCTATGGAGCTGACTAAAGAAACTTATTAGTCAGAAGTGACCCAGCAATAAACCCCAGTTAAGAGAAGCAATCCTTCAATCTTGGTTTCACGTTATAACAGCTTCAGAACTAAAAGATTTGGTTCACTCTATGGGAAGATGTTGTAAGGCTGTGATTCATGCTAAAGATTACCCAACTAAGTATTAACAGATATGGTGATAATTTTTGTATATCTCATTTTTTCCTATGGTGATAATTTTTGTATACCTCGTTTTTTCTACATGTGTCACTTTTCTTCTTTATCCTGTAACTGCTATTCTAATAGCAAATCCTTCGTAAAAGTTATTGCATTACATTCTTGATTAAAATATCTTTCCGTTGATATATAATTTTATGGCACTACGCCAAAATAAAGTGGTGTTTTAGAAAATACACTTTCCCCAAAAGGTTTCCACAATTTTGGCCACTACTGTACCTGTGTTATATTTTCAAGAAAGCTGCTTGACCCTACAGAGGCATGGGAAGAAGACTTGGAGAAGTCCATCCTCGTCCAGAAAAACAAAAAACCTCGAGATCCCAGAATTAGAGTTTGGAACATAGCAAAATAACAAGTAACTCCATTGGGTTTTGAGGGTGGGAGTACGTACTAGAGGTCAGGTGACAATTTGGGAGGAATGGAGCGGAATCAGATCAATGTTGTTATTCAAAGAGGGCAGCCAAGGTACTACATAATGGCTGAAAACAATAACAGGCTCTGCATTTCCTAAGCAAATTCTTCCTCCAGCAGGAAATCTTATTGTGTGGGTGCAATTAAACACCTCGCCAAAGAAAGCAGTGATCAAAGCAATTATTAAAAATGTAAAATAAGGATAAGTGCTTTCATGCAACGGCACTTTTAAATTACAAATCAGGTTGTGTTCAGAATAACCCGGGCAAAATAAATACCCATAAATGCAAATA